ATTATATCTTAACGGAACCCCCTTTAGAAGGGGTTTCATAATTTCCATATAACTTCTTAATGCCAATTCCGCCAATACATTGTCCTTTAATAAATGCGAAATAATATTGTTTCCAGAATTGGTATTAAGTATTGTTAATATTTAATTGAGAACATAAAAGAATTGATTTTAAGATATGTTGTATCTTTCAATTGATTATTAATTATATTGTTAGTGCATGGGCATATTTTCAATTTATTCGCGAATATATTAACATATAAATACTTGTAATGTGTTATTCTGTACATTCTTTATATTCATGCGATATTTGTTATCAACACATATGTTATTCACATTTCAACAAAACAACTATCACTTATAGAATAGCACAGAATTTCGTTTTGTAAACATTAAACAAAATATATTTAATAAAATAAAACATTTATAACCAAATCATATAAATGTGTATTCCTTCACATTATTGCCATACATTTTATGCATCCATTGACAAAACGCTCAAAACAACAGTTTAATATAACTAACTTCTATAAAAAGCATTAATTATACGTAAGCTTAAATTTCATACATTCATCTTCTTAAATTATTTATACACAAATTATTTTAGTGTTTTATATTATATTAATGTTTATACTTTATATGAGTAAATAAAACGAGTGAAAGACATACCGGCGCTCGTTGTTAATGATTTGGATGTAATCATGAGATCGAGAATAAAAGCCTTCGGAAGAGATGGCACCCCAAAAGTTAGACCACAATTGGTTATGTCGTCCCAAAAGGGGTGCAATTATTGCCCTATTATTAGCATAATATTCAATATTATTAATTGTTAATCAAATATTGATAAAAACAAGAATTACTTATTTTGTTGAATAAGTGTTTTAAGAGTCAACGGGTTTGTGAGTCTGGCGTCTGAATCGACGGAAAGATAATAATGGCAATTGACTTTTGCGCACTCGTCACTAATCAATCAAATTATGTTCAATCAATATAAGTTATCATAAAATTTTAAATAATTAGTTTAAATACAGAGCAGAATTTCTGGCCCTCCATTCCATTGGTTGCATTTGGTCGTCGAGTTTGTCAGATCCAAAAACATTGATCCCTCGATATTCATCTCTGTACTGATCGATAAAATTTTGAATGTCTTTCGAGTGATGGGAAACTTTGTTATAAATGAATAAATGGATTCGTTTTCGTTGGTATTCCTGTTCAACAATATATTGCAAAAATTCGGCAAAGAATGGGGTCTTATGTGTGACAAAAATGCCGATCACAACGAGTGGCAGTTGAGAGTCGGCAGTATTTGTTAGACTTGTTTTGTTATCATTGCAAGAAAGACAACCATCTTTTGGATGCCATGATTTGGCTAAATAGTTACCCAAAGAATTGAGCGAAACCTGTGGTCAAAGTTTACATACAGTATAATTCTTGAAATCTAATGAGTGTTTAGTTGACTATACTTTGCTGCCACCGTTGCCATGAATTATCAATGGGTTTGTACTGAAGGCGGTGTTGTAAACGTACGCGTCATCCGTTGAAAATTTGATCTCGACGTCACCGACCGCTCCGTTTAAATTCTGAAAGAGATTCGCCCTCTGATCCAACTTTATGCCCAGTTTTGTCTATTTAATCGTTTGGATTAATTGTATTTCAAATATATATTTTAGCATTTTATGAAATTAGACACAAATATAAGTACCCTTAGGTCGCGATCGATATAAATCTTTGTATAAAACAGTTGGTCGTCATCTAAATCATTGATTTCAGAAGTGGACACCATTTCGTAGATCTGAGGCGCGTATCCAATGAATCCTTGAATGTATTTATAATTTGTAGTAAAAATATTTTAATTAACCAAAAATACCTCCAGAATTGAGAAACGGCTTTCCGTCCGTTTCTGACTTCGGGTATTGAGACTAAGAAATAGATGAATACAATTAATAACAACACTTAATAAAATTCAAATTCAATGAAAGTACTGCTAATGACTTGTCGGGCCAACAAAAGCCTTCCGATGAAAACACTATTTTGGCCGACATTTCATAAAATCGTTTAAGAATTTCATCAGAATTGGACGTTAAGATCACATCAAAACTATAACAAATCAATTCATAATTATTAACAAATTAATCCACAAAAAAAACAATTCTTTAATTAATGCAAACCTATCAACAAAAAGGATGACAACATTTTCGTCATTCTTGTAGTTATTAATGAAAGCCTTAAGTAAATTGACTTTATGTCCGCCGCCGGGACTGGTGGCCACATCGCCGCCCAACCACTTCTCATTTTGACCCAATACCTGTATTTCACCATTTTATTCAATATTAATTAATATTCTTCATTGTCTTCTCCAGTGATTACAATCAATAAAACAAGTGATCAAATATAAGACATGCCTCGAGTTTAAGCCCATATGTATTGACAGATCTATTAAAGCGAACGAATCCATCGGTGATATGTGTGGCCACAGTTGTCACCACTAAATTCACTTCTAATACATTATATTATGAGTAAATAATATGATTGAAACCAATAGTATCATAGTATCATGGTCAACATTATCAAAACAATAGCGTTATTGTCGCTTCAATACTAACTTTTACTGTCATTTGCGTTGATTTGATTGACATTTAAAATACTTACTAAAAATATCGATTCAAATATTAAAATAGTTTTTAAAAATAAATGCATTTTTGATAAAAGTTATTTCAAATAATAATCGCTTTTATATTATTGTGAACTCTATTGTGAATATTCGGTCAATAATCTCCCTGTATATGCAAAAAGTCATACAAAAACAACGTTACGTTACAATTAGGATGGCGTGAGAATTGGTACCAAATTCTGGCAGACATTGCATTTAATCATTAAATTTCAATGAGTTATAAGTGAATCAATGATAGTCTGTACGGTATATATGGCTCAACCAAACCATAGTGCAAATCAAGTGTATGGACACGCCTTTCGTTGAATACCAGATGAATGTCTTACGAGAGTGTGAATGAGATTCTGTTGCCATAAGAGGAACAACCAGGAGATGACGTCCCGGTTCTCTCTCTCTCTCTCTCTCTCTCTCTCTTTCATTCACACATCAACTGTTTATTTAAGCAAATATTTCGCTATTTATTATAAATGACTGTTTATTTATGTAAAATTTCTCAGAGATACGGAATCATCACTTCTTCGCTGTTTAATCGCTTTCCAAATACAAGTCAATTGCCGAACGTCTCGTCTCCGATATATATAGCATTATCGCAAACCCAATACATTGAATACTATATTGTATAATATAATCGCAGTGTATATATGTATTGTATATTTACATAAAATACAGTATTGTTTGTAATGACTGAAAAAGCAATTTTTCAAATGATTGACAAAAAGTGAAATTACAAATACATTTTAAAAGACGAGAATCCGATTTGTGTAGTAATGATAGTAATAAAAAGGCAATAGTTATTGAAAAATGTCTATATTTATCGTTTGCTTTTTAGTTTATTATTTTGACAGAAAATCTTCAAAAGTTTAACAAAAGTTAATAATAATTATAAGAAATGGAAACAAAGAATTGTCTAAAATAAATAAAAAGAGCGGAAGAGTTGTGAATTGAATGCAAATTTATATTGAAATGAATTGTTATACTGTATTAATAAATAATTAGTTGTTTTGTTGGTCACCACTAAATGTTGAGCAAAAAGTTGAGCGCAATCTTTATAGTAATAAAAGTGTATAACACCAGAGCCGAAGTGGGGCTGACCCTCAGTCTGGAGGTGCGATTGCCATCAACTTTGAGCCGGTATTCAGTAGTAACAGATATAAAACATTCAATTTGTTAACTACATGACCATTAGAAGTAGTGCTAACAGTCCTAACCCGCCTATAATTAGAATTTGGGTCACAATTTCATTGCCAATCCGACCCAAACCGGGGCTCATGTGTGGGTCAGTCGACAATGAAATCGCATATCATATAAACGTCTGAATTATTGAATTAAACGCAAGTTTGTTTGTTTTTGTGTATACATCAAGTTTGAGAGCAATTAAGTTAACATCAAATGTTACGGCATATAAACAAATTATACAATCATTTGAATTGACGCACAAGTAATGCACTACAAAATCCCAATTTTCATCTCTTTTATCGCTTCCAACATCCCATCCATTCATTCAATTCATTAAACAATTGCTTTTGTTTTTCTCTTGCAATTTAATCGTCAAATTATCATATGTTTGATATTGACTTGAATTCAAAGTATTATTGAATTGAATTGTATTTAATTGTGTGCACAATAAGACACGTTTACCGATAATATTGTAAATATGTTTCTCAATACTGTATATCCAACCAATGGTGCGATTATTGTCTTTTGGTTTCATTTTATAATTAATTTAATAAATCATTTATTAATTAAAGCATAAAATAAAGAGATGAGTGGGAAATACGGGGGAAAGTTAGGAATGGGTGCATAGAATTAGATGAGAAAAGGCTTCAACGGGTCGTAAGGTTTACACAACTGAGAACTGACTGACTAGAGAAGCAAATGGTCATCAGTTGTTGCAAAACAAATCATTCAATTTCTTCATTTACTCTCGAATAATACAAATAATACTTAAAATAATTTGCAAAATAAGACATAACTGTAATCACTGAAGAGTTTATAACACAATAATGTCGATCAAATGAATGGCACAATTAAATGGTCTTTAAAAATTAAAATAACAAATTTCTAGTAAATAATTAATTTCAATGAAGTTTAGTTTTTTTGTTTCTTAAAATGTAAATAAATTGCAATTCAATATAATAGCAATTATTTGTGTCAAAACTGTATATATAATAAGGAATTGTTTGTCACACAATCAAATCAATTGAAATCCAAAGAACTTGAGAACATCTCATTGCTGTTCCAGCAGTTAGTGTGCAATACATTCAAATGGATGTCTTCATCCTCAGTGGTGTTGGTGTCTGTGCGCCACATCTCAACTCCATTTGGAGAGCAGATAATGAGCTAATTATATAGTTTGGAGCCAAACCACCACTGAGTGCACACATACTCTGTCTGTCCGTCTGTTAGACTGTTTGTTGAATTGGCAGTAGAGTTGCAAAAGAGTTCCTAAAATGGTTTTAACAGTGAATCACTTCTTCTCCTCTTCTCTTCAATTGTATCTTCCATTCAAAGCATATTTCAATGATGTGCTGATGAGTGACAACTTTAACACAATTTAATTCAATTAATTGAATTTCTTTTTACAGTATTTGAGTCAATGAGAGGCGAACACAACTAAAACTGACATTTATTTAAAGTCTGATCCAATGATTCGCTTGTTTTTTGATAGAAACGGATAATTAATTAATTGATTATGAAATGAGAGTTGAGTTTTAGCCCATTTTGTTGGTATAATAATAATTATATAAGAATTGCTTTAAAATGGATTTCGTGTACATCCGAAAGGATGAACTGTATTAAAGGCTTACATCAAAAAAGTGAAGTCAAGTCCTTTGTTTAGTTCAAAAACAATATTATAAGAACTGATAACTGAATACAAGTCTATTAATTGTTGAATTCGATGAAATATACCGCCAATTGTTTTGTTATGGTTTCCAGTCATTCACATAATGTTAAACACACTTTAGAAACATTCACTTCATATTTGATCAAAAAATGTGTAATTCTTGTCATAACTAAAGTATGATTATCTGCTGTTAATTCCAGATCTTTAGGAAACTATCCCACGAACCCGTGGCCACTGCCATACCATCCTCTGTCACACCCAAACAACTGACTCGGTTGTCGTGTCCGGCGAGCACTCCTGCAATCACAACAACATATTAGACATCAATAGCACACAAACCCCAACCGAAAGAGCCATTACCTGCGCGCTCGGCCTTCATAGAGTCCCAGACATTGCAATTGAAGTCATCATAACCTGCGAGTAAGAGTCGGCCGCTCTTTGAAAATGCAACGGAAGTGATGCCACAAATGATATTGTCGTGTGAATACATGGCTAACTCCTGATCGGCGCGAATATCAAAGAGACGACACGTCGCGTCATCAGAACCGGTAGCGAATGCGTGACCGTTCGGGAAGAACTACAGACCAAATACAACTTCAATATCACACTATCTATTAGATTTCAATTCAATACTAACCGTAACGGCATTAATATCGGACTCGTGTCCAGGAAATGTCTGTTTGCAGGTCCCGTCCCTTATGTCCCATAACTAAAAGCCAAACAAATTCATTTAAATGGAGTTAGTATATAAATACAATGTATAATCAAATAATGACAAATGAGATGACAATGAATACCTTAGCGGAGGCATCACAGGCTCCGGATACGAATGTTCGCATATCTGGTGCTAATGACAGCGACATTACGTCCCCCGTATGGCCAGTGAATGATGTGCACTGTTGACCGGTTTCTATATCCCAGAGAGCACTGTAACACACAATACAATTAATAATACAGACAATAAATGTGATATAAATATGTGGATGTAATACCAGGTCATATCTCCAGAACTGGTGACTATTTGGTTGTCGTCGAGAAAGCGACAACAGGACAGATAGCCGGTATGTCCGGGCAGTTCTCGGCTCACTCTGACATTGCCTTCCCTTGTCTTGAGACTATAGATGGAACAGATGTTGTCGAGTCCACCGCACGCCACATATGAACCGGAAGGCGCGTAAGCGCAGGTCATAACCCAACTCGAACGCAGGGGAATGGCGTGAACTTTGTTAGTGGTGTAGGCGTCCCATACTATCAGTTTGCCGTCTTGTGATGCAGACACCAAATATCTGCTGTAAATGGCAAACAAACGCTCCGTTCACAACACTATACCAAACTATATCGCAAAGCTATAGTTACCTCGAGTCTGATCCCCAATGCATGGCATAAATCTTAGCCAAATGGCCCCTTAAGGTGCGTCGGGTTCGCATCTGAATCCTACCGACCGGTTCCATGTTTGCCGTCGCCTGAACCAGAGTCGTATCGCAGGCAGCCTTCCGCGCATCCTATCATACAAATCATTGTTTAATGCATTCATCATTTCATTCAACATTTTTGCTACAAATCTATTCAAAAATCTCTAATAAATCACTTTTTGTAAAAATGTATTCAAAGAGTTAACTCATATTAATTCAAAAATGCATCAATATTTTCATATAATTTATTGATTTGAGTTAAACTCAAGTCAAGTGAAGTAATAGAGAAGAAAATAGTAAAAGTGGGGGAAATGTTAGTGGAATTGGGTTTGACGTCAACTATTTTCATATCATGTTGGGATTGACGTCAAGGCATTGCCCTGCAGTTGTTGCCATAGTGAACGTAGCAGGGATTGGGACTACCTTTCCATCCATTCACTCTACACTCAACATCACTAATCAAATCATATATTTCTCTTAATATCTTAACAAATATTTTTCATTAATACTTTTTCCAGTGTTTTGTTATTTTTCTAATTCAATATTCAAATTATGATTCATTGCTGCAAACAAAACAATATTTACACACTATTTATAACAAATATTGTGCTCATAATTACTATAGTTTGGATTTTAATTCACATACATTTTTACGCCACAAAAAATATATAAATGTAAATACATTTATAAACACAAAATCCTAAATATTTTTCAATGTATTTAAAAAATGAATTATTAATTGTTTGAATATATAAATTGATATATTAGTAGAGAACTCATCAGATATATTGCATTCATTCATGTATTAGTCAGGAGAACGAAAGTATATACAATTCACATCATTTGAGATCTCTTTTTGTGATTTCTTAAATCACTTGAATTGAGAGCTCGTATGACAGCAATTGATTAATCACTCAAAGGAGACCTCAATTTATCTATCATTTCCGCTATTTCTATGAGAATTACTTCAAAAATTACATCATATTTACAGTTAATTGTTTTTATCACTCATTTACAGATAAAAACATGTTATTGTTATTCAATACTACGAGTGTTTCAATAATAGTTTTCCGTATTGTTTATACAACTCATCTGCTGGTGATATCTAAAAACTGACTTCACCATGTTAAAGCCACATATATTTATCATCAAGGGTGTATATAAACATATTACCGGTATACAATCTTGGTGTATTTTTAAAATTGATGCTTTTATAGAGAAATATTTCCATAAACATTATGGGATCATAAGCACAACATACAGTGCAACTTCTTCATAAGCAACGGGCAGTTGCAACACAAATGTGTTCCTTATAGAGGGTTTCTTCAAAGAAACTAAGAACTAAAGGGGTTTCTCAAACAATGCTACGAATGGCTCTAATAAATGGATTCAACCGAATGTCCATTTTGTGGTCGTATTCGCCATAAGAAATCACATATTTTACTTCGTTTGGACTGATTCTCACTTTAAGGTGTAAAAGGGGTTAGAATACTGAACACAACACAGCGTTTGCATACAGTGTACACAATAACCACTGAATAGGCATAGCGTCAAACAGGCATCAAACTCAACGCTTAATGTGAGTATTAGCCCAAACAAAGTCAAATACGACCACAAAATTGGCATTTGGGCGACAATGCAATCAATTGAGTGGTCACTGATTGTGTCCCTGCATTGTGAGTGCACTCAAGTTGTACAGTTTGCCCTCGGTTTTGACATTTGACCGGTGCTGTAAAAATATGTGTTAAAATCGAATTCTGTTAAAATCAAAAATGGCTTTAAATGCATTAAAATGACATTTTATTTTATTTAATGTTTTTTTTAAATATTCCAAAGACTTTTTCTAAGTTTTCGAGTCTATCTTTTCTCAAAAATAACAAAAAATAATTATTACAAAAAAGTACTTTTAGTCAATGTGTTTATGCCATACACACAAAATTGAGTGTTCAAATGGAAATGTGTCAAAACGGCAACCATTGGACATATGATAGTATGCTTAGGGGTCG